CCCCCAAAACCCCAAAACCCCATTGGACTCAATTATACAATTATCAACAAATACGTATTATAAACATAATAATGATTCCAAAAAAATTAACATTTCAGTAATCTTTCAAAAGCATTATAAGGTTACCATCGCCAGCTAAGGCTGCATAGCAACCAAGATTGTATATTTTTAGATTCATGTAATCTCCGTAGTCAAGATTCTTGTTAGCAGGTAAAGTTTAGCCTTTAAATTTTTTCCCTGGATTTTCTTTTATCCAAGTTTTAATGTTATCTAGTAGAATGTTTTCTTCTCTCATAAATATAACTTTAGTAGTTTCGTCATTTTATGATTGCTTTTTCAAAACCACTATAGATCCAATTTTAGATAGGAATACATCAACGAATTTTCCAGTTTCAAAGCACTATATTGTGGGTTTACATCTTGAACATATATGTCTATCTCCATGATACATTACTTATTAGTTTCTACCTCCACAAGTTAAACATCCTTTAGGAAATAATGCAGGTACAGCTGCCAGGTTAGGCTTGAAATGAATAACAGGTTTAATGTTCGCCTTTCTTTTAAGTTCTTTCTTTTGAAACTGAAGCTTAAATGTGTGATGCTTTGTCGTTTTAGACATCTGAGTGAGGGATGATTTTGGTCTTTCTGTTTAATACTACCTCATATTTCTTGTGATACTCGTATCTAAGACTAGATTTTTTTATTGATTTGAAACAATGTCTTATTCACCATATACATAAGAATCATCTTTATTATGATTTAGTTGAGAATTGTCTGCTCCTCTGTCTGTTTTAAAAAGCTAAACTCTCTTTCTAATTTATGGTTTTTCGCGACTTGTAGTTTAGAATGTATGATTTACAGTGGTATTCATTGAAAAATCTGTTTTATTCAATAAAGAAAAGTACTCTGCATTACTAGTTTGATCTTATGTACTTTATAGCAGCCTTGATAAATTATCTTTGATTTTACTTTAACTATTTTAATTATTCAACTTAAATGGATCATTTTCTAAAATTTTTTTTTACATCATGTTTTTATTCTTCTACTTATTGCGGTCTTACTAACTTTTATGTCTTTTGAGAACTTATTCATCCCCCTTTACTCTCAATCTTTTATTTTATGCACTTTAGTTAATAGTATTATTCTGCCCAATAACTTATTATTATTTGAATGTAGATTAAGTATTAGCAATATTACTTTAATAAGCATTTGTGAAGTCGTTGAAACTTAAGTCCTTATTATTGGTTGTAATTTAACCATTTTAATTCAAATTGCTCGTCATTTTATTAGTCTAAAGTCCTGTTCTTTTAATACTTTTGGTTGGAGATGATGCTCAGCTAGTCATATCTTCAACAGTAAAATTTAGCTTCTTAAATATTTCTTCAACTGGGCAATCGTAAGCCATGTTTTACTCTGCATTAAATTCTTTATCAATCCTATCAGCATATTCATTTACGTGCCTACGCTCTCTTCTTTCCTATATTCTTGTGACATAATTCATCAGTAGACTTTGTTCTAAGTCGGATCTAAGCAAGATTGGTGACTAGTCAATCATTCGTAAGTGTCTTTTTATCTTGAGATCTTGGATCAATTTACTTAATCTCATATCAATAATATTGTTAAAATGAAGTTAATTATTCCAATTCGAATTTCTTTTTTACTCAAATATCAATCTCTGGATCATTGCACATTAGGGGTTTTGGGGTTTTGGGGTTTTGGGG